ATATATACATTCATTAAACAGCATCTAGATCTACTAGGGTGTACCTGTATCTCAGAGCATTGCTTCTCCACAAAGGCTTTGAGCCGCTTGATGTAATCCCCATCCTTTTCGTCTTTTTTCTGTTCCAATTCAGCGGGGACCACTGACACATTACTCTTTGGATGACTATATATTTTCACAATATTATCTCTAATCTCACCTTCCAACTTTTTAATAAAATCAGCAAACTGAGAATCAAACATGGAGGAAAGCATCGGATGATCATCATTTCGGTTATCATTCGTCTCATTTTCCTCAATATCTTCCATTTCCGCCATACTATTAGCGTTTGACCGGGTCAACGGTTCGCGTTGCTGAGCTGGCTTTGCAGACGAAAACAAGAAGCTTTTTTGCATCTCATCAAGCTTCAAAAAGTAAGAAGTCAACCCGACTTTTTGGCTTATAGCATCGACAATGGCAAAAGCGTCTTTTCCGGTTTCGTTACTTTTATTATAAATAGCACATTCGCCTAAAACAACAGCTGCTAAACCCCTTGCACAGACTGTTGTGTCACTGTTTGATACTAACTCGATTAAATATGTTAAATGAGGACGTGAATCAAGAAAAGATTGGACTGCATTTGGGCAATCAGAAAGCCATGTCACAAGAAGTTTTAGAATTATGGGTTGGAAATATGAGTTTCTTGGAGTTGTTGATTTTCCATCTTTGCCCTTCTTGGAAGATGCAAGAGCTAAGTATTTTACCATACGGTGTAATAGTGGTTCTGGGGAGCCTAATGAGGGCATTGATGACTCCAGTTCAATTTGTAAAACTTTTTCCTTGCATTGAATATTATCCTTCATTACATAAGAAAGAACACTAGCAGCTCTGCAACTTGTCTGTGAAATATAAACCATATGTTATTAACAAAATGATAATTTAAAATAGAGAAAAGGAAAACCATATGTTATATTATACCTCAAGGTCACCATCATGTTCACTCATGGCAAGCCCATGCAATAGCATGCTGCAACATAAAACAAAAGTTCATAAAGATTGATGTGAGGATTTTTTTTATAAAAAATGAAAAAAAAAAAAAAAAAAAAAAAGATATAATACCTTCCAAAGGACATGTTTATGTCCTCTTCGAATCTGGCATTGGTGATTGACATGGGCTGAGGGATTAAAGTAGAAGCTAACATTTTTTGACCATCGCTATTTTTCTGATTAAAAAAAGAAAGTAAAAAGTGAGTTTGGTTATTGGATAATAATGTGGATATTTTGTTTTAAGAAAATGTATAAAAAAGAACCTCGCAGAAGTTCTTGAAAACATAATCTGCAGCTATAAATTCTTGCATGCTTGAAGTTCGTAAGATGATTCTAAGGATTGAGTTGAGAGCTGGCTCAATTTCAGGCTCATCACCAAGAGATTTGCTTGCAAGGACTTCAAGATTCTTATGGTGTCCAGAAATCAAATCACCTATGCATTCAAAGGCCTGACAATGTTTCTTTCTATTACATCATTTTATTTTTCTTATTTAAAATGTCACATGGAACAAGTTATCTTACCGCACAACGTACAGCAACAGGTGCCCATTGACTTTCAACACCTAGCATTAGTAGATGCTCCAAAACATTTCTCTACAAATAATAAATCAAAGAAAAAAGAGTCATGTGATGATATTTTATCTTTATGAATATAAATAAAAAAGTTATAAAATTAACCTGGACAAGAACTGTTTTGTTTGTCAATCTATTATTGTTGCTCCCAGGATCGGTTTCCAGACCTCCACTCACCAGCAAACTAACTGTTTCCAATCCACTCAGTAGATTGATTGTCTACAGACACCAATTACAAACTTTAAACTTTAAAAGCATGTTTACAAAGGTAAATCATATGCTAAATAAACTGATAATTACTTAATGTATGAGTATGACCTTTTGCTGAGTAAAGCTGTATGTGGTTCCTCTTAGCTTCAAAATTGATATTATCGAGTCAAAGCCTATAGTCTCCCTCAGCAACACCTATACACATCTATAAACTGGTAAAAAGCAACAAGATGAATAAAAAAAACTTCACTCCAGTAAATCTTTTAAAAAAAAGAAACCCAAACCTGATTTGATGCATTGTTACGAAGGAGATTGTTTAACAATTCAAGACAATCCTGTGAGATTACAAATATTAGAACAAATTGTTAACAAAAAAAAAAAAAAAAAAAACAACAGGAAACCATTGATGGTATAGGTTTGACTAAGAGTCAACTAATCACCTGGACAACAACACCACCTTCTGAACCTCCCTCTTCTTTAATGATACTGAATATCTTCTCAAAAGCACCCTCAAAGACCAAGATTTTTTGAATTTCCTAGTATAGAAATCAAAGAACATTAGGCAGGATACAGAAAGTAATGTAACTTTAAATAAAGAATTTGGCACTAAATAGGGGAAAAAGATTACCTCTGCTTCACGGGTCAAGTAGGTGAGAAGTAACAAGGCCTCATTCCGTATGACCTACAAGGCAATCAACATAGTGTTTAAGGAAAAAAGAATTATTAAACATCATATAAATTAAAGATTTCAACAGGTATACCAGTTCATACCTCCCGATCCATAAGCATATCCATAAGCCGAGTTATACCACGGGGGATTGTAAGAATGACTTCCTGTAACCTGAAGGAGACCTCAGTATATGAAATGAAGTTAAAAAGAAGAAAGAAAAAGTGGGTAGGACACATACCTAATGGGAGAACTTGTTAAAAGGGCAGTCAAAAGTTGAAGCGTATAATATCTTATATAGAAGTCATCCTCTCCCTGTAAACATATTTGATTACAAATCACAGACCATAGAACAAAAAAAAAAAAAAAAAATCAAGAATTCATTGTCTGAGGTGAATATGATCAAGATTAGAAGCCTTACAAGCAAGCTTAAAAGAAGAGAAATGCTTTGCCCATCTCTTGATAAAAGGTCAGTGTTCATCAAAGCTGGCTGAACCTCATTTGCACGCAGTTTTGCATGAGCAATCGGTGTTAAGGCACTCACAAGAGTTTCTAGAGCCCCCCGAACCTTTGACAATAAATCAATATATAGCTTTATTAATTGAAAGTGGTTATACCATAAATATGATTTAAAAGAAAACATAAAGAGGAGGTGACAACTGCCACACACACCCACAGTTCCAAGACTATGTGTTCCTAGACACTTGCCTACTTGCAGTTTCTATTTGTTATCGACTAATTTTTAGATGCATATATCAAATGAAAAATAGCATAATCTCAATGTACTAAAGTGGCTACTCAACTAACTCATTAGGGACTACAATGCTACTATTTGAAAATAATTTGTATTCCATTACGAAACAGGACAAAAGATATCATATTCTATAAGAGTGTAGCATATAACTGCTAGATATCCACCAAAAAAGAAAAGCTGTTGGAGAAGCCTTCAAACCATTTCAACATCATCACGTTCCTTTAAGACACCCAATAGTACAGGAAAGCCTGCAACAGACAAGAATGGATTGTGTTATGGACAAATAAAGCCTTAGATACCAGTATAAGACCAACATATACTCACCCATTTCTCCAAAAGCCAGCTGGGCAGCATGACTTTCTGCAACAACAGATTGAAGCTCTGCCATAGCATTTCTTCTATCATCAGCCAGCTGTCCATTACTTATACAATCGAGCAAGCGTTCAACATAGCTACAAATGAACATCCATCAAGTACATTAGCAATGAAGGAGATAAAAAGGTATCCACAACTAATTAGATAGTAATTTAATCAGCTGCTCTATGATATAACAGGTCTGTGTTATCAAGAAATGCATGAATGTAGTGCTTCATTAGTGGATATGGTTTGATTTGTTTAAATTGAAGAGACAAGGATAAGCAATTATGCTAGCCATTATCAGAATACTGCCCATTGTCGGTGAGAAAAAAGTAGTTAATGCGTCCATGAATTATACAATAAATAGATTGATGGAGGTATAACAAAATATAAGAACTAGCAATAGAGTAGCAATATCTGATCTGCAATAACCATTGCAGGATCACACCGCCACTTAAAAAATATCAAATAAAAATCAAGAACTGGCACCATTGTTTTTGGTAAAACAGACAAAATAAGCAATCCCATCCACCCCAGGTTGAGCGATGAACTAGAAACCAATATATTCTGAAGTGCATAAGAAGGTAAATAATCTGCTGGCTTAAACTAACAACTGGAAAAAGAAAACCAACCTATCTTCATTGGAACTTGAATTCTCGTTTCCAAACACAAGCCCAACAACTCCCTGTATACGTATAAGCTCATTGTCAGGCATGAAAACATTCAAAATAGAGCAAACAAGAACTACAGCACTGTAATTTCATACAATTACCTTTAAATCCATCTTTTTCATTAGAACTGGAGCAGTTCGAGAATTGATCAATAACAAAGAAAAACTACTTAGAATCTGCAAAATCCATCACAAAATAGTAAAACACCCGATTAAGGAAGAACTGTTCAAAGTTAGTCAGAGAATAAACTATCAAAATTCGTCCCGAATCTTCAGATTTCGTACAGATCAATCAATCACTCAATGCAGACTAAATAAGCTCGACACGCAACGCAATAAAACTGAAAATCGATTGATATGATCGTATTACCTCTGCAGTATACGTTTACGTAATATTTGATACAATCAGCAAAAATTAGGATGATTCAAGAACTAGAAAAAGCCCTAATTATCGATATATTAAAACGCACCTGAGAGAGTTGGAACTTGATTAGATCGTGCAGAGAGAGATCAGGAGATGGGTCAAAGGGTCGGAACACACAATCATGTTGCTCTTTCGATCGACGACCCGGGCCTTTTTCACACGTGCAGGCCCATTTTTTGGTACAAACATTATTTGGTTTTTCAAATGCAAAGTTACCAAGGTATTTTTTTTTTATTATTTTTTTAAGTTAAACTAGGGATATTTCGTGTTTCGTGGCAGGTGGAAGAAATTATTTGGTGTTTGTATATATTTTTTTTTGCGTGTTTAAGTTTCGTGGTGGTTAATGTTTTCGTCTTGTATTTATATAATGTTTGGAGACAGATAAAGGAATAGTGGTAAAACAACATATATTATCTCAAGAAGCAGAACATTACATAAGTGGATGGTGGGCGGAGTAAAACAGAAGATAAACAAACATTTGAACAATCATTTTTTTAAACAAAAGAAGTTTCTTCAAACTTTGTCCATTGTTTGAAACCAAAAACTATAAACAATTCGGTGTGGGCAACGTCCAACTTCGTTTTTGTGAGGTGGCAAGGAAAAACGGCGTGACCACTGGGAAACACCCCCCCCCTCCCGTTATGTGGCCATTCGTTGGCGTTGTAACGATCGATAATGCGCAATTGTTTTTTATTTTCTCCATTTTGACCGTTGAAAAACGTAACATTTTAAAAGAAAAAAAAAATTACCTATAAATTCGTACTATCGTCTATAAATTAATCACCACTTTTCTCTCTATTCCATACACTTTCAATACATTAAAAAAAATGAATTCGTTCGATGATAGTGATGACGATGATATATTCGTCTCTATGATGTACGAGTATTACACGGACGTGCTACTACAACCAAATTCAGCATCTCTATTAATTATACGTGCGACGTTGAACAGAGATCGCGAAGAATGGCACAAACGTCTAGTTCACGATTATTTTGCGGATGATTGTGTCTACCAGCCACGCGATTTCAAAAGAAGGTTTCGTTTGCGGAAAAATGTTTCTGTTCGGATAGCCAATGCGCTGGAAAGCAGGTATTGTTTCTTTCAAATATAGCTTTTAGATAATTTAAATACATTGTTTCTTTCAAATATAGCTTTTACATAATTTAAATACATTGTTTCTTTCAAATATAACTTTTACATATTAAATATACGTTTAGGTATGAATATTTTCAAATGAGATATGATGTTAGAGGTAAGCGTGGATTCATAAGGTTGCAGAAATGTGTTGCCGCAACTAAGCTTATGGCAATGGGAGAGTCGTCTGATTCGATTGACGATTATATGAGAATGTCTTAGAGAACTGCAAGAAAAAGTTTGTATAGATTGGTGATAGGTGTTGTCGAAACCTTCGGTGAGGTTTATTTGTGCAAACCTCTGTTGAATGATATACAACAACTATATGCGGCGCATGAAGAAAGACATGGTTTTCCGGGTATGCTTGGAAGCATTGATTGCACACACTAAAAATGGAGAAATTATCCCGTGACGTGGAAAGGTCAGTACATAATGGGTCATCATGGAGCGCCTTTGTTGGTATTAGAGGTTGTTCTTTCCTAAGATTTATGGATTTGGCATGCTTTTTTCGGGGTTGCGGGTTCGAACAACGACGTGAACATTCTTGATCAGTCACCAATATTCGACGATATTTTGTCAGGAAAGGCACCAAATGCTCATTTCACAATGAATGGAAATGAATACAAGTTTGGGTAATACCTTACGGATGGAATATATCCAACATATTCTACATTCGTGAAGGCATTTCAACACCCAGTGGAACCAAGAGACAATTTTTTCAAGAGAAAACAAGAAGGAACACGTAAGGATGTGTAACATGCTTTTGGAGTTCTAAAGTTGAAATGACACATCGCTGAACATGCGACACGACCATATCAGTCAGACGTTCTACAAGATATTATGTATACATGTAGCATAATGCATAACATGGTGTGTAAATGACACATAGTTGAACATGCGGCACGACCATATCAGTTAGACGTTCTACAAGATATTATGTATACATGTATCATAATGCATAACATGGTGTGTAACATCCATAAAAATCACGCCAATTTAAAACTTTTTAAAACATTTAAAACCATTAAGTTATTACAGTTTGTTTTCAAAATAGTGTAAACATCAGAGAATCCCCAGAATCAATTCATGCAAACATAAGAAGGTGTACGATCACGCCTTCGCCTTCCCGCGATCATCAGAAGTACCTGAAACAAAATCAACAACTGTAAGCCCAAAGCTTAGTGAGTTCCCCCAAAATACCAACGCCATACAGATATAACCATATCATAATAACAAGCACATCATGCATAATGAGCCATCAGTATGACTGGACCGCCTCGCAGGGCCATCAGTCTATCTGGACCGCTCTCTGAGCCATCAGCACGTCTGGACCGCCTCTCAGGGCCTTCAACCTATCTGGACCGCTCGTCGGGCCTTCGGCCTGACTAGTATGCCCTAACTGGGTATGCAGTCTATCCGGTCCGCCCTGGGTATCTTGGCCTACAACACAAAACAGGACATGCCTCAACCCAATCCCCAATCAAACAATCATGTGCACATAAATATCATATGCTAGCATATATAACAGTCAAACCGATCTAATAGATCACTAACATGGCAACCATCCTATACCCAGGATATTGATCTAACCGATCACTATCATAGCAACCATCCTATAACCAAGATACCGATCTAACCGATCACTAACATAGCAACCATCCTATAACTAGGATATCGATCTAACAGATCACTAACATAGCAACCATCCTATAACCAGGATACCGATCTAACAGATCA